AACCTGAGCCACTCTAACTAGAAGCTTTATCAAAAAGGAAAGTTTTAAGCCTAGCCTTAAAAGTAGACAGGGTGTCTGCCTCAAGGACTAAAACTGGTAGCTGGTTCCACAGGAGAGGAGCCTGAGAACTAAAAGATCTACTAGGAACCATTAGTAAAAAAATAAACAAAAAAGTAATGACTTCACATCTTTTAATTTCCCTGTATCCAAAGCCTTCTCCAGATAGGCTGTAGAGGTGGTGTTGAACAAGAATGAACAGGAAAATAAGAACAAAAACTCCAGAATGTGGCTCTAATAGTGATCCTGGAGGTTATTAAAATCTGGGTCCAACCTGAAAGGGATCCATCTGTTACTCTGGAAGGGCTGCTGTCACCTGCTTGGATAAAGTTATTTCTTTTAATTTTGTTCCAGTTCATTTAAAGCTTAGATAAATTTATTTATAATATCTAACTACAATAATACATTTCTGACAGCTCCCATGATATTAAGGTGATCTCAGATCACGCTTCGTGTGATGATATACAGACCTATCAGAGGAGTTCAACCCAAACAGCAGCAATTCCTGTAGTATAGCGTAGCCTGCAGTTCATCCTGTTAGCTTTGTCTTTACTCATCAGTAAACACATGAAATGATCAGCATCATCAAAGACATATTGTCTGTTCTGTCCCTAATGGTGCCAGACCTGCAAACCTCTGTTCATTTGGAAGGTTTGACTTTCATCCAACAGCAGCTTAGCAATGCGGGCTAACAGCAAACGGGGGTTTTATATTCCCATGAGGCTCACACCAAGGGAACGGCTTCTTTAGGAGATTCTTCTCCAGTCTGGCTCTGTAAGTTCTGAAACTCAGAGAAATGTGTTGCAAAAAATATATTTTGCAGCAGTTTGGTTCTGAAATGTCACCCATCATGATTTATCCTTGGTCATTCTGCAGATCTGGGCCTTTTGGGCCTGCCGCCATGGTTTGTCTTCTTCCAGTGTGAACCTCCCCGGGCAGCTTCAGGGAAAAAGAGAGAAATCCTCTGTGCTTTGGTTTTTTTACTGTTCTCAGCTCTGTGGGGGGGGGCAAGGCACACCTTGGTGGGAGGGGTCCTGCGAAGCCAGTTGGCTGATAGGGGGTTGCTGCATCCTCTTCTACAGTGATCATGTTTATGGCTCAACAAATGTTTTTCAGATATCAGGAATACATATTCAGCAAAACTAATACATATCAAAACAGCTTGCCATAGTCTATTGTCACCGTGATAATATTAGACAACTTTTATTGTCATTTTGTATGCACAATGTATACAAAATGAAATTTTGTTTAGCACAGCTTTTCAGACAGTAAATGAACATTTCCATCCTTAAAGTGCAGCAGTGATTAAATCTAAACAGTATTAAAGTTCAGACTTGCTAAGGTCTGAACTTTAATCTGGGTCAGAACTTTAGGATGTTCCAGGATTTCTCCTGGACCTGCTGATCCTCACAGATCTTCTGTTAGAAGAACCTGGATCACATCCTGGATCCACTGGAAGAACCACACAGCTGGACAGGAAGTCAGTATAGATTTATTAGAATAGAACATTTCAACAGCAAGAAGATTGAAAGATCTTTAAATGATAAAACATCAGAAGCAATGAGCAGAAAAATCATTAAAATCATCAATCAGGTTGACAGCTAATCATCAAACATCAGAATCATCAGACAGAATAAAAGTTAAGACCTCAGGCTCTTATTAGCCACCTCAGCTAAGCTAAGCTATGGAAAACTAAGCAAATCAGTAAATAAATCAACAGAATTCATAAACA